AAATAACCATTCTGCTACGGCCAGAAAGGCTTACCTCTAATGACAAATGGATACCAAACTTGCCTTTTTGACGTAACCAGGAATTTTGCACTTTGATAACTGTAAAACGTATGGATCCGTAATACTGTATGTAGTATTTTGACCAAACATCTAACGAATATCCATGTATCATTATCGTTTTCAATTCTCATTGAGAAAAAAAAGGTTCGTACTGGTCAAAAGAGTGATGCAAGCCATCCACATCATTCATGTAAGTCACTCTAGTATTTTTGGTACGCGTAGCATCATTCTTACTCTCAGTACCCGAGGTAGACGGCTTTGTTAGAAATTCATATTGTACGCTCTATTTTTTGCATTTCTCCACCAGACAGAAAAGAAAGTGTCAATGTATGAAGAAATACATGTAGCAGAGTAAAATAAGACGGGCTTACACCAACCTAATGGGTTCGGTTAATTTCAGACGTTCGTTCGGAACAAAAATCGTGACGTCAAATATTATAAAGAAATCATAGGCTCTGCTTCGTTACTTTGATGTTTCAGTTGTCTTGTGCATTCTCAGGATGCTGAAAAGTCGTCGAATTTCAACAATCAGCTAACCCATGAAAGCAAACGTTTCATTTAGTCGTTCTTGAGAAAAACCTATACCAAAAACAATTGACAAAATAATAGGCCACAAAGGATAGCAGTGACACGTTTTCAGATCTACGAAGTTCTTGATTTTTTTTTTGTTACATTACCAATATATTCAAACAAAATGTAAACATCGAAGGATTAAATGAAATCAATCCGTTCTTTTTGCGCAAGTCACAATGGAATAAACGATTTTGCGTATTTTTTTATTACACTTGTGTATTCAAAGTAATTGGTTATTTTGACGGTTAACAACGATTCCCTGTATCAACCTTTGTCGCAGTCACATTTTATAACTACTAATGACAAATTATAAGTGAAAGACAAACGTCTTATCTCGTCAATAATTGTAAGAAGCACAGATAAGCTTCTTTCCTAATTTTTGAAAATTTGGCAAGGGCTGACATTCCAAGAGCTGAGAAGTCTTCTAGAATTGTTGCAACTTTTGCACAGGTGTTAATGGAGACCATTTTGAGAGAGTATGTTTGCATAAATGCATCATCAAAATAAAGAATTGAGTGGACAAACACTCAACCTTCAACAAACTTTACGCATCGTTGAAGAGCAGAAGATTTTTTTAGGCGTGTCAAAAACAATTCGTCTACAATGTATACTGCGAAGGAAAACTGTTTCGCACAAGTGGCACATTAAAACTTCTGTGTTTTGGAAAGTACACTACAACTCGCTTTCCGCACATTAAAGAATTCATGCTATTCGGGAATATCGTATAGACAGTTGGTGATTCTGCATATTACATGTGTATCAGCCACGTCTAGTTGTCGGAAAAGAGGATGTACCTTTGCTACTCGTCAACAAATGAACGCAAAACCCAAAACGATGCATTGTGAATAATGCTCACACATCACACGCAATTGTTATAATCATCGTAGTTCGGTAACGCAATAAGAATGTATTATGCATGTGTTTGTGTTGTTACGACACGACAAACTGAAGGTTAACTGCTACGCTAGATGTAATACTTTATAATTCGTAATGCGGCTTTACAAAGCAAGTTCTGTTCTCTACAAAGAAGAGTATTTGTTAGATTGCGTAAATTTCATTGATTGGAATTAAAATCTTTTTCTCGCGGATGTATCGTGTGCTTTGTTTACATACGGTACAGTAACTCAAAACCCCATGTCTCACAGAGAACGCAAATTTTCAACGTGTCTAAAGTCTGACACAAAACTCGTTGTAAACTTGAAAAAAGTGTACGTATTTTAAAACCTGTTTCCTCGGGATTTTCCGATAGAAAAAACGAATTGATTATGACAAGATTGCATACCGAATGACATGCAAAAAGATGATTAACAGATAAAAGTTGTGAAAAATTTCAATTCTAAAAGGCATTATTCCTTGTTACTGCTGTATATGAAGCATACTATACAATAAAGTTTAACAGTAACAATCACAAAAATGCTTTTTTAATAAGGATAAATTGTTTTCTAAATTGCGAGAAAGCACTTAATAGTGTAAGCGTAAATCTCGTGTTTTCTAGCACAAAGTTCAAGTGTATTTTTAACATTTTCACAGCCCAACGTTCAGATTTAATCGAATGCTCAATGAACCTGTCCATATCTGATATGGGTTTCGAAAACACATAATGTGCAACGGCCCATATCGAAGCATATGATGTACAGTCTTTTTCTTTGCGAGTAGGCTGCAAGGTAACATTGCAATTTGTGCCGATAGATAAATCAGTCAGCAACTACCCCACTTTTTGGCAACCATAATTTTCCAAACAGGATTCTTAATTGATACACGCCAACCTTCATTGTATAATAATAAGGGCAAACTCTAACCGACAAAAGCGATAGCACTTGTGTAATCAAACTAACAACGTGTGTCATTCAAAAAAGGTAAGATTGGCCGCTTTATTCTAACTTCCACTTGCTTTGTCAAGACACATGTCAATTTAATATACATATATTTCATTACTATTACGTTTTCATTGTCTTTTTCCCCCTTCCACTCTGCTTAATATTAATCTTTCAATCCAAGTCTGCTGAATAATGAGTTTGTTGGCAAGTTTACAACCAATTTATGCGCAGCTTCGAATAGTTCAGCTGATCTTGTATGAAAGCCAATAAGGGAATCCGATCAAATGCTTTTTTCCTTCAATACTTTAGTGATCCCGGGATATTGGATCTTTTGTCTTAGACTATCAATAGTTACTGAGCATTCGTAATACGATTCGAAAATATCGTACACTCTGTCTATACAATCGCTTGCCTTTTAAGTGTCAACTTCTGTGCGTTTGGACTTGGTGTTACCGTGCTTTAAACATGCTTGAATCATGTGACCTCTTGAAGAGGGGGGACTTTGAAAAGCACAAGGAATGTTGATGATCTTCAGTACAAAGTATATATTAACTATGGTTCAAGGCTAATAGATAAAAAAAGATAAAAAGGGGTACCCGGTGTGTTTACTCTCAGGGGGGAGGGGGGTAGGGAAAGGGATTTGCCGTACTGACTTAAAGTTGGTTCACCACACAGAAAAAGACTTTCATTGTATGCGCAGAAGCTTATCATACAAATCACTGACGTTGAGAAGGTTGTTACCAATTGCACATGCGAGAGATATCATGAAACATTTAAGAAGATGGGGTGTTACTTGCCCAAAAGATAGAATATAGTTAGTTAACTGACGTACCATGCCAAGTACGTATGGTCTGTGAATCACGGGAACTGTAGAATTAACTAAAACAGTGTCGATAATGCAGTGTCTCTACTCTAACAAGTGATACCCTCTCTCATTATTCCTTTTCGCTTTTTGCTTTCCCTGATGAACAATGTGTATATGGCGCAAGGTTATACAGGGCACACTCACACGAATAGAATTAAACTTGCTTTTTGATCACAAACCTGCACGTGGAATGTTGGTATTGAGGGCATTCCTTTGCAATATGTGTGTGTTGTTGCATTGTGGTGTCGTGGTGTCGTGGTGTCGTGGTGTCGTGGTGTCGTTACGTTGTTGCGTTGTGTTGTGTGCGTGTGTGTGTCTATATTAATATTACGATTACGATGTACATTCAATGCCAATGTGAAAAAGAACTAACCATATTAATTGCTATGGGCTGAATGTATAGTATCACGAGTAAATAAAGGAATAGGATATCATCATGGAATGAAACAAAAAAGTCTCCGCGTAAATGATTATGTGCTACTCCTAAATTTTACCGTGCTTACATCCGTGCCATGTTCTTTTTCGTTTATGTTATTGTATATGTCCATATATATATGTTACATGTCATACTAGTTCATGAGTGTGTTTAGCTGTCATATGAAACGTAACATTTGATTTACGTTTATGTCGATTGTTTATGTGTGACTTTATTCCAAATTAGAAGAAATGAAGTGTAATATCTAAGTGATGGCATTGGATTTTAGGGCAAAGTTGTAACGTATAAATTGTATTTCATAAATGATAATCAAAAGTTTGGATATATACCGATTATACCCATTATACCGACACTGCCGATACATAATAATAACGCTCTTGTATTTGCCATTTTAATAATATATACACACGTACATACATACATACGCCACGCCGTTTCCCTCACCCCACACACTCTCACTCTCCACTCTCTAGTATTTTTCTCTCACAATCTACTGTTTATAAACACCTGAAACCCCACAACTTTTCCTTCTCTTCTTTGTAAGGGTCTGAATGACATCATCTTTACTATCAACCGAATAGCAATAACAGCTTTACAAGGAGGATAAGGTTTAGTCTCAGACACACGTAAGACGCGGGCTAGCAAAAGGGCTGGACTGGGTAATCGAATTAATAAGTAATTTGCCCACTTGTCATAAATGGTTGCGATATGTTAGATATGTGAGCGTTATTGTATGTATTGCATGTATTGTAAATGTATTGTAATTATCATTATGAATTCGTTTTATACTACCGAATGCAGATGACATCACATGCTCATCCATTCCAACTATTTCCCAAAATCAAATTTAACCCCCCCACATTGCTGTCAATTAGGCCTAACTTTTTCATCATTCATCGAACTTGGAGCGAGTTAACAATCCCTCTCACACAAAAAAAATAAAACCTGGCGAGCATTAAACATAATTGTAAAAGCACTATACATTCCCTCCCCTCCCGTAATACATTGTTTAGAACATCCCTCATTTGACAATTTGGACTTTGGGTTCGCGAGTTTTTTCGTTTTATCGCATTATTTAAACATTTTATCCCATTCATATATCCTGTCCCGAAAAACCCTCTCTCCTCTTTCTTCTCGTTCCCTCTCTGTCTGTCCAACTTACCTCACACACCACCACCACCACCACCACCACCACACCCCCGCCCCCTTTTTTTCCCACCACGTCTTTCCTACCTTATATATATTATAAATGAATTACGACGACCTAGTGGTGGCTTCACAAGAGATCTTAACCTCACCGCATCAACGGCCTCCCGTTTCGCTTTATCCGGAAACAGATAAACAATTAAGATCACGTAAAGCAAAGAAGGCAACAAGCATGGAAAACCTCTATGAAACCAATATGATGTCTCTTTCACACGGTAACGAGTCCGCCCCCGCATTGAACGGGATACGCAAAGAAAGCAGCACGTTTGCATTAAGTAATAGGAATAGCGGCAGCAAGAGAGAGGATAGCGATACCATTGCAAGTTTGGGCAAGCTCGATGGTCTAAATAGCACTAGCACAAACTCGGCTTCCTTTACCAATCAAAATGGAAATGCATCGCAAAACCATCGTCAAGAACGCAAATCCTATCGCTCGCCCCCCGCTACCTCGCCGCCTGCTGAACGTGATTATGCAACGGGCCCTCCCACCGAAATAATGCGAGATCCGACATCAGAGGCTTTTTCGACTCATGCGTATAGTTGGCCTATCGTATTTGCTGTTATCCCGCCAATGGGTGCGTTGGTCTATGGAAAGTCGGACGTGTGGAGCGATTTTTTGCTGTTATTATTGATTGCTTTCTATTTGTACAATATTATAAAAGGCAAGTATATTGGATAGAGTGTGAAAAGGGGAGGCTCGCGGGGACGGTGAATGCTAGTGGGGACGGTGAATGCTAGTGGTGATGGTGAATGCTCAGTGGGGACGGTGAATGGTAGTGGGAATAGTGAATAATAGTGAGAATGGTGAATAATAGTGAGAGTGGTGAATGATAGTGGGAATGGTGAATGATAGTGGGATAGTGAGTGTGATAAATGCTAGTGGCGAAATGCTAATGGCGCGACCAAAGCGAGCATGTACAGTGATAGTAATTCAACATCAGTCGTGGTATGTGAATTCATTATCACATATTAATTATTATTTGATTACTAACCTTTTATGTATTCCCACCCATCTTATTCCCACCCCAATTCATTTAACCTCATATAGTTCCTTGGGAACTTTACTATGCTGCGCGCTCTCGAAGAGTAATAAACGAGTCAAACACTCCGTCTGACCCGCAACTTGAAGAACAACGCGCCGCCGCCGCAAAAGATCTTCGAAAACAGGAAAGAAATGCACTCGCCCTGGTCGTTGCATCTCCCATTCTCGGCGGCTACGCTCTCCATTTTGCCAAAATGTCGCTCACGGATTACGACAAATACATTACGCATTTCAACATCAACCTGTTTGTCTTTGCAGCCGGAATACGACCGCTGATGCACATTGCAACACTGGCCAAGAACAAGACACTTCATTTGCAAGAACAAGTACATTATCCCAGCACCGAAGTAGAATTGTTAAAGAGACGGGTCCAGCATTTGGAATACGAGTTTTCGCAACTACGACGAGGCTTTGCCACAAAACGCGAAGTTCTCCAAGTGCGCGATGGGTTCGAACCGACGCTAACTCAACTCAACAAGGCTATGCGTCGATGCGAGAAAAAAGAGGCATGTCTTCGTACGTATTCGGACGAGCGGTTTGCCTATCTCGAAGAGAAACTCCGAGAATTCGATTCAATCATCACGTATAGACTTCAGGATGACCAAGTAGCGAGTCTACCAAGGTCCATGATGCAAGTAATGTTTTTGCCACTGAACATCACTGTGACCGTTTTGGGTTATGCGCGGTATTTCTTACCAAAGTCTTTGAGAGGCCGGAGTGCACCCATGTTGCAACCACCTAATCCGAGTGACGAAGATGACACCGTTGTTGGTCACAGAAAGCTATACGGAGAGTATGGGCAACAAGGAAGCGAAGGATTGCAGTCAAGGGATTTGCAGAAATATCACTGAAAATAGCCAAAGCGTTAACGGAGGAGAATTTATTATGTAATAGGCTAGATTGAAGATATAAGAGCACTGTCTTCTTTGTGATGGCAATATTGCATTCCAATATGCAATGAGAACGAGCATCTCTACCTTTTGTCTATATCTACGCCTATTTTATTTCTGATCTATTTATACGATATTTATATACGATATATTTTTGTTCTCTTCCTTGGGATAAAAAGAAGAAAAAAAGAGAAGGTATAAATCAAACCACGTCGATCGTGATCATAGTAATTAAGTTTTTTATGTATATTTTATATAAACAAGGAATGAATCGATACACATAATAAAACATTAAAAATTAAGATAAAACTCCACAAAGTTCTGAAATGATAGTGAAAAAATGATGAGTTGGCAATTATTATTAAAAAAGCAGCAAGAGAGAAAGAAGATGTCTTTCAAGTGCTTTACGTACTCTGCTAGTAAAAATGATAATTCACATTTCAGATCCTATTCGTGAGTAAGGGTAACCCGAAAAAAAGTCATTCAGTCTAATTACTCATGAGACCCTCTTCTAACTCGTCAAAGTATCTTCGAGCTACAGAAATGTTCATCTGCGTAACAGCCGATTCTAGGGAAGAGAATGTGAAACACATACTAATTAATGGCTTGACCTCTTACGTAAAAAACACATATCCACATGAATCAGTTTTACTCACCGATTGTCGTATCAGACATAATGACCATTACGTAAGTGTGCGACGTTAACACATCAAAAAATGCGGCAAAATTCGGTTGTCGCATCTCCATGCTCTTGAATTGAGCCTGAAACTTGCTAAATAAAGAACAAGATGAGACACATGTCAATAACATGAAAATGACAAGTCTTTTGTTACCACCGCCACCACCACTACCCCCACCACCCCTCACAAAAACCCCCAGCCTCTCAACTCCTTGCACGGCTTTGTTATCCAAAAACTACTCACCTACAACTCAATTTAAACTGCTTGATGTAGTTGCTAATCTTTTCAAATCGATGAGCGTCCGTATGCGCAATGTTGCTCGTATGCGATATGACCAGGAATGTGGTACGCTCGAACAAGACTACTTCGTCTGCTTCGCAAATTTCAGCAAAGTTTGTGAGTCGTTCTTCGAGCTGAATCACGTTGGGAATTAAAGAATAGACTATTGAAGACCAGGCCTATAGAGATCAAGGACACGATGGCGTTAGATTGAGTTTTTGAAAAAGGGGAAATGCTGGGGACAGGACTGAATATCCAAGCCCCCCCGATAGAAACACGTAAGAATAAAAGACTCGGTAGCACACTCTCTTTCCAACAAGAATTATTAACCTTGTATAATGTCTCGTCCCATATAGACGTAGCGTATGCAGAGATGTGTAATGGTTTACTTCTTTCCCTCAACTCTTCGCATCGCCCGTTGAATATCTGTATTGGGTAGCGATAAACGTCACGTTAAAAAAAAAAAAAAAACAAAAACAATCACCTCAATCCCCATTGTCCAACCGGTTGCTACTAGTTAACTTTACGTACTCTATCTCTCGACCCCTCCTGTACGAGATCCATTTTGTGTACCAAACAGAATACTTTCGCGTCCTTACTGTATTCCAAAATAGCTTCTAAACAATCTTGATAATAATGCATGTCTTTTTCAATGTCGGTTGACTCTACATCAAACACATAGATCAAGACTTCCACGTTGCTAAATATTTGGTCACGGTGGGTGGCGAAATAATTTTCCATAAACGCATCTTGTCTATAGTGTCGAATAAAAGAAACAAGAGTCGTGAGTATAAAAAAACAGACGCACGCATGACGATGCGGGATGGGAAATTGTCTTTGTCGTATGTTGGAACCGTCAATAGTGATGATATTCCCATTGCATATAAATTACATGTTTCAGTTTCTTTCACTCGTTCCCTCTAACGAGCAGTCTCACACGTACCCTCCACAATCCCATAAATTGAGCGTAAGATTGCCCAAAAATCTCACATGAGAATGTTCAACGTCGACTAACAAATATGTCCAGAGAATTTAAACGGTGGTAAGCAAAAACGTTCTTGTTTAATCAATAAAGGAAAAGCAAGAAGGAAACAAAAGTCCGTTTGCTCGGCATTACAAGATTCCTCTGGAAGATACTCCGCGTATAAATGGAGAAGGGGTGGAGGAATCGAAGGATAAAGAAAAGCACGTCAGGCGTGAGTTTGTGAGAAGGGGGAAAGTTTTTCAGTTTTGATCAGAATAAAGGAGTCAAAATAATGTATATTAACGTAGGCGGGTCAATTGAATGTTTTTGTCCGCATATATATATTTCTTCTTTGCCTTGTTTCCCCCCTTCTCATTACTTACCTGCTCACGCTTAATAACACCCTCTTTCTTTCCTTCCTTACTTTCTTTTCTTTCCTTCTTTCTTTGCAACTCACTATCACCAAATGTGCTACTGTTCTACTACTCACTTGTTGCTCCTAGACGTCGTGTGTCTCTTGCAACATAATTGGAAAATATAATACTTCTCATGGAAGTCTTGCCCGCACCACTTTTACCCATTAGTAATATCTGTAAGCAAGAGAAAAGGATAAACATGTTTGAGCGTCAAGTGAAGAAGTTTGTAATAGATGAATTGTTGCCATATAGAAAACGGCAAGATCGCAGCATTACTTGTATAGCGCTGACAAGCTGGTCGCTATAAACATAGCGACCGGTATGTAACAGGACCACTCACAACCCATTCTTGAGACGAGTCTTGGGCTAGCTACCAATTTACCTTTTTCCTCATTTTTATACAGTAGTCAAACTAGCAACGTGAAGGATATTTTTTTACAATCAACAAGGTTCGGTGACGTTTTGTATTTATCTCGACAGTTTGACGTCGATCCGAGTGATCGTGGTCCTCATAGTTAGAGGGTCCATGTGTTACGACTTTTTAACCCTGGGACCGTCAAAATTTGGTTGGCAAGGGTGGGGTGCGGTGGTGTGATGATGACTGAGATCATCTGCTGCATAACAAAGGATATGCTTTTTATCGAGTGCATACATGTGCATGTATATACATTTGGGAGGGGAATACGCAATAACAGTCGATTTAGTTGATTTTTCACAAGATCACAAAAAGTTCTAAGCGAGAGCAGAACGTCGGGTCATGCGTATCTTAATCGCATCAACATCTCTAAATTAATCGCCATACAGATTACCATATCAATACAATGCCGCAAATCACAACGAATGATCAATGACTTTCTTGTCCCTCTCAAATGACCATCATTGCTACCGTCATTTCTCTCTATATCCACCATACCAATCATCAACTCACCCACACCACAAATCACAATCTCCAAACGTTCATCATAGCAACACGAGTCATTTAACTTTATCAATGATCTTCTTGTCCCTCTCAAATGACCGTCACATTTCCATCATTGCTACCATCATTTTCTCCACATCCACCATGCACAATGACATTCCTTTCCAAAAATGTTCTGAATGTTTAACAATCTTTCGGCATGACACGGTTCGATTTCTTCAAGTTTTCCACGGAGAAGATTCTGTTGGATCAAGATCTTGTGCGTAAATTAAAAATTTAAAATTTCAACCGTTCGTGTTAGAAATACCCGCATATATTCGTTTCCTAACTTGTTCAATAATAGTCATGTGGTTGTACGAGGTTATATCACGCCTCTTTTTTGGGGAAAGACTGCTTTGCTTCTCTGGCATTCACGGACACTGACCAGGAATTTTATGTCGAGGGAATATGAGACGGTAACTACAGTAATGAGCGTATGTTGAAATTATACGCGTATAATAGGAGGAAGTTTGATATTGTTATGAGCAGTAAAACTTTAGAAGGACAGAGATTGTAGATATTGAATGACATATTTGCGATATCTGTGTAACATCTATTACACAATATTCGGTGGCAGGCGGATACATAATAAGTACTACCACGTAAAAAATGTGGTCAATAAACATTTGGCAAACGAAATGATTAACATTAAAAGTTTATGACACAAAACATATCTATTACCAGGAATGTTAATCCGTATAATAATCGGTTTTTTCTAACAATCTGTAAATGACAACATAGTCTTAATGTAATGTGACAATGTTGCCACTACAGGCTTATTTGTTGGAGAATTTAATTGTAATAAACAATGCAGTAGTAGTAGACGCGGATAGATGATACCATACAGTTTATTACCAATAATCGGATTCACTTCTGGTGTATAAGGTTGAAACCAAGTGTTACATTCTAGTAATTGATATCTTGCTTTTGATACATAAACAGAACTGTTTTAAGTGTAGAAATAAATATATTCTGAACCCTTTTACATTGTTGCAGCAGTTGTCATAACTTTTTAGATTAAATATTTCTTACTTCAAGTAGTACCTTGCTGTGGAAATGAAGTATGTATATAATAAACATAATAATAGTAAAAAAATATACTTGAAAATAATATTATTTAATTAAAATGTGATAAAGTATTGTACTGATTTCACATTTTATGGTTATGACAGTAAAATTGTGACTTATGTAACTGGTGTAATTCAGAGCATAATAAAAAATTGCAAATTTATAATCAAAACAAGATTTTATTGTTTTTTGAGTCAGTGAAAGTATTATTTGTATTGTAAATTAGAATCAGTATTAATCATAGTATTTCCAAAATTAGACTTAAATTTTATGACCAAGGAATTGAGCCTTGTTTACACTGTCAGACCTAACCCTTATTGAATTATGTCAGTAAACATTATTATTTTGGTCAGCACTCTCATACAGTATATTTTTCAAGATTCTTGAAAAGCTCAACAAAATACTGATGAAGGAAGGGAACTGATTGATAGATTACATTCTAATAGTGAGCAAGAATCCTAAATTATTATTATATTTCTTGGTGTGAGCAAATCTCCAGTTGGTAAACAGCTTGCTGATTTTTTCCATTTTCTTATGATAGACAGTGTTCATATATTGTCACCAGAATTATCTATTTCTAATTTTTAATCAAATTG